GAGACCCTCCACGCAGAGAGAGGAGCGTGGCGTGGATTGCATCCCTGACGGAAGAGGCCGGGCTCCCCGCTGGCAGAAGGACAACTCACCTCCCTGCTGCTCGGAGCTGCTTGCTGCGGACAGCCCTGCCTGTGCCCAGCCGCTCTTCCGCCGTGCTGGGAGCGCAGTCCAGCCAACGGACGTTCCAGCAGAAAGACACTCCAGCTAATTGCAGCTCCTGCTCATTACAGCTGCACGTAATTTTGCCTCTGGCTAATGCACGCTCCAGATAGCGGACACCCCGCCTCATTCCAGCTCCTTCTTGCTACAGTTCTGGCTAATTGAAGCCCCAGCTCCGCACTGAAGCTCTGGTTGATTTCAGCTTCTTCTCCTTCCAAGCTCCAGCTACATGCAACAGCCTGGGCTTCTGATAAGGTTGTAAATCAATTGCTATCAAAACGTGAGCATTAGGATTAAAGTCGTAGTTATAATGCTGTATAAATATTCATTAATTTGTGCGATTAATTACTTAACTATTCTAAGCAGTGTAGAAAGAAGAGCTGGCCTCAAAGAGGGCATGTGGGGTCTGAAAAGTGCCTTTCCCCCCACAGACCATCGCAGATGTTGAGTTTAGCCTGCTGCGTGCCAGCCTCCCAAACTTCGGGGTCCGACACAACCAGACCCCCATCTCTGGGGAAGGTCCATGCCCCCTGCCCACCCCCTGCTTTCCCCCACAGCCCCCAACACCCTCCCACCCACCTGCCTCTCACCCACCTGCAAAACCAGCCAAGCCGGCTCCCGCTTTTGGCCCCCGCACCAGCTGACTCGGGGCCCATTTGGGAGCCAAAAAACCCGGCTGCTGAGCCCGTTCTCAAGGCCCAAACACGCAGGGCCGGACCTCTGTTTCTGGGCCCAAAGCCGCGCAGCTCGGTCTGTTTCCGAGCCCCCACATCAGCCACGCGAGCCTGTTGTCAAGCCCCAGGAACAGAAAACTTGGGTCTCCATTTCTGGCCCCCAAACCAGCTGACCCCCTTTGCAGTCCCCGTGGGCAATGGTGGGGGGAGCGTAGCCACCCCACAGCCCTGCACCCCCGGGGCCCCACACGTAGTTTCGGGGAGTGCTCGGGACCTGCGGAGGGCCCGGCCCCACGCCTCTGCGGGGCAGCCCCAGCACAGGCAGGGCACCACTTCATTATTGCTGTTTCAGGCTTGCTTTCCCTGGCATCACCGCCAGCACCGGGCGCGCACCCCAAACGCCCCAGCCGAAGCACTCCCGCGGGGAGCCACCCCCCGCCG